AGAAAAAGGAAATTAAGAAAATCTCATTTACAATTGCACCAAAAAATAAAATACCTAGGAATAAACTTAATCAAGGAAGTGAAAGACTTGTACTCTGAAAAATACAAAACACTGATAAATGAAATTGAAGAGCACACAAAAAATAGATATTCTATGCTCATGGATTGGAAAAACAAATATTTTTAAAATGGCCATGCTATCCAAAGCAATCTACAGATTTAATGCAATCCCTGTCAAAATACTAACAGTATTTTTCACAGAACTAGAAAAAATAATCCTGAAATTTGTATGGAACCATAAAAGACCTCAAGTAGCCAAAGCAGTCTTGAAAAGGAAGAAGAAAACTGAACTATCACAATCCGAGATATCAAGATACACTACAAAACTTTAGTAATCAAAATGGTATGGTACTGGCACAAAATTAGACACATAAATCAAGGAAAGAGAAGAGACAGCTCAGAAACAAACCCAAAATTATGTGGTCAATTAATCTTGAAGAAAGAAGGCAAGAGCATGCAATGGGAAAAAGACAATCTCTTCAACAAATGGTGTTGGGAAAATTGGACAGCTACATGCAAAAAAAAAAAAAAAAAAAAAAAAAATGACACTGGATCATGTGCTTACACCATACACACCGTACACAAAAATAAACTCAAAATGGATTAAAGACCTACATGTGAGACTTGAAACCATAAAAATCCTAGAAGAGAGCATAGGCAGTAACTTCTTGGCATCAATTGTAGCAACATTTTTCTAGGTATGTCTCCTGAAGCAAGGGAAATAAAAGCAAAAATAAACTATTGGGACTACATCAAAATATAAAGTTTCTGCACAGCAAAGGAAACAATCAAAAAACTGAAAGACAACCTACTGAATGGAAGAAGATATTTGCAAATGACATGTCTAATAAAAGGTTAATATCCTGGTGTACCCAGGTGACTCAGTCGGTTAAGTGTCCGACTTTGGCTCAAGTCATGATCTCATGGTTTCTGGGTTCCAACCCATGTCCAGTTCTGTGCTGACTGCTGAGATCCTGAAGCCTGCTTCAGATTCTGTATCTCCCTCTCTCTCTTTGTCCCTCCCCAACCTGTCCTCTCAATCTCTCTTTCAAAACTATATAAATAAACATTACAAAATTTTTAAAAAGTTAGTATCCAAAATATACAAAGAACTGGTAAAACTCAACACCCAAATAATCTAATTAAAAACTGGGCACCACCTCATTCATTTC